TTATGTCATCATTTTGAAAGACTATGATCTAAACAGTGGTTTGAAGAACTTTTCCTTTACTTTCAGTTTGTTAGATGAACTTGATAATTTCAGCACATCCCTTTATATTTTCATTTTGTTTATCTCATATTATATCAGAGTTTATTTATGGCAGGCTGACATTTTGCACAAACACACCAATTTGTCCTTCAAATTAACATTTTTTTCTCTCTTACAAATTCTGACATTTTGTGGTAAATAGCAAGCTATTAATCTACTTCCCTATCCAAAGGCATTTAATGCAGCTTTCTTCATCAAATCATAAACTCAAAATGTTGATCATTGGATTATTAATTATTATTAATTAACAAAAAATATAGATCTTAAATTCAGGTTTTAGATTTTAGATACGTTTTCAATATGAATTTGCATGTAAGATCAAATGGTCAAAATATATTATCACTGTTGCCATGGTTTCAGCTAACTTAATCTTTTAGCATGTCACTTAATTGTTTGGATTTTTAAAAACATGCAGGAAATTAGGATATTATGAAATTTTACCATTTTACCATAATTGGCCTCTTGCTTTTGATTAATTTTCTTTGAATAATTACTGGATAACTTGAATAGCGTCATTATAGAAAAGGGAATTTCAGTGGTGCGTTTATGCTGGCTAAAATTTAAAACTAACTTTAAATGCACCTTGAGTAAACTTCTCATATTTTTCATGGGAAAGACCACAGAACTAAAATGGAATATATTGATTATCTGTAAAGGGCCATGTTCTAGCAATGACATCAGCCAATAGAAATCTTTCCAATTAGACCATTATGGATTTTAGGGTTAGAAATGTTCTATATCCTCAGGAGATATACTCTCAGGGACACTACAAAGTTATGGCGTTGTTGTTGTTATTGATTTGACTCACTGTTTTCTACATAAAATTGGCTAAATGATCATTTTTTTTAAAGCAGTCTCATTTGTTTTTTTTTCAGTGGCTTAGAAAATAATATTTCAGGTAATGCCACCTATTTTAGAGGAGAAGATTGCAGCCGATGCAATTCACCTACTGAAAGAAATTTCTAGAAGCCAATAAGGTTAAAAAGGTTCATTGTTGAAATTAAGAAGCTGAGGTAAAAATACATATTAAGAAATCATTTCTGATATCCTGACTTCAAAATATTGTAGCTAAAATTGTAAATGTAGATCTTATAAAATTTGCTTTGACTAAAAATAAACAAAAACATTTTTTATACAAGGAACACACTTTCTATAACTTCTGAACTCCATAATAAATATAAATTTTATAAGGAAAAATAATATATTATGATCTGTAATTAGCAGATAATTATGGTCTATGATTTATGAAAGAAATTCAAATAAATAAAAAATTTGAAAATGTTTTTCAGAATAACATCTATACCTACTTCCCCTCATGGCTCTTAAGGATATATAAAGTCCTAAGAATACTCTCATGCTAAATTTTACTATTCACTATATTCATTTATTCAGCAAACTTTTATTAAATGCTTACTATGTACCAAATGCTGTTCTAGGTATTGGAACAGTGCTCTGAACAATTTGAACAAGGCTACTGTTCTCGTGAAGCTTACATTTTAGTGGACAAAGACATTTTAACTAATGATCAACCAATAAAATAAGGTAGTTTCAGATTGAAGTATAAAAAAAATATCACATAAGAGTATAGAATAAGGGAGATAGCACCTTACTTTAGAGAGTGTTTTAGAAAAGTGTGTAATTGGAGGTGAGATCTGGATAACAAGGAGTCAGCCAGCCATGTGAAGACCAATGCTCAGCGTCACTGAAAATGGTCCTCCCTCTGTGTATTCTTATTCCCTTCCCTGTGGGCTTTCCAGTTTCATTGGTAAGGGCCTGGAGCTGCTGGATTCTATTCTAAATAGAGAAAAAGTGAGGACAGCCAGATACCTTAACCCTAATGCTATGTTTCATATTTTTCTGCTACCCCTACCTTTCCTCCTGTCTCTTCTCAGCACTTCTGCACTTTTAGACACCAAGGAGTGATTTCTTGTCTTACATATGTTAATATAGAAAATATACTTTTTTTTTTAAAGATTTTATTTATTTATTTGAGAGAGAGAATGAGATAGAGCATGAGAGGGGGGAGGGTCAGAGGGAGAAGCAGACTCCCTGCTGAGCAGGGAGCCCGATGCGGGACTCGATCCCGGGACTCCAGGATCACGACCTGAGCCGAAGGCAGTCGCTTAACCAACTGAGCCACCCAGGCGCCCCGAAAATATAATACTTTTTAAAATTATAGTTGACACACAATGTTACCAAAAAATAGGATAATGGTTTTCCCCCCATTAGCAATTACCAAGTTCTAACACACTGTATAATTTATTATGACTTTTTGTCTGCCATCACCACCACCATTAGGAATTTTGATGTTACTTTTCCCTAATACACCTAAGAACTTGATACGGTATTCAAAATGTAGTAGATATGAAGTGAAATATTTGATGGATGAATAAGTCGGCACTTTATATAAGGGAATTTGCTTGAATTAGTGTCTCCTGGGCCTTGTTCACCAATGATACCGAGTCATCCTTGGATCTGCCTTCCATTTCTAGAATCAGTCCAATCTGATTATTAAGCCTGTGGCTAGAATGAACTGTCTGGCGTTTTCCAGGGCTGTCTCCTGTGGACTTCTTCCAGATGACTATCTACTCAGATGGATAAACATTTTGAAAGATTTTCACAACACTTTGTAGTGCTGACTTTCCTTTTGAACAAACAAAATGGACTGCTTTTCAACTTGAGGCTCAAGCATCCAGATGATATGCTGAGTACGGAGATTGCTTATGCCAAGTCTGCATTTAATCTTGAGCACATTTATACTAACGGATAGTTACTTTAGGGCATTACTTCTATTTTTAAGGCAGTTTGTATTTCAGATATAGTTTCTGACAGACCTCCCCCATCAGTTTTTATCCCATCATTATGCTCCTCATTGTGAAAGGTAGTAGAGTATTCTCTGTAACAAAATTTGGTCAAGGTCTGCAAAGAGTACTTCATGTTCAAGCATCACATTGCAACTTAATTTGTTAAGAACTGCAGCTATCACTGTAACAAATTAGAAAGTGTGTTAATTTAGAAAGTCTAGGTGTCTCATCACCCCGTGGTGGTGGACTCCTAGACTATCCTCTACATACAATCTACAGTCAAAATATCATTCATATCTCTAATGAAAACTTTTTTTCTTTTATAATAATAGGTATAGTTAGATAATATTCTTGAAGTTTTAAAATGTTTTAATGCTTTCGTTCATGGTTATAACTTGCAGACCTTTCTTTTAACTACCACTTTACTTATTCAGATATTCTTTGGGAAAAAGTAGAAAATTGTAGATATTTTCATGTGTCAGTGTTTGCTTACTTGTCTCAAAACATGATTTTTGTTCCAAGGTACTTAGTTATATGGACCCAGAAAGGGCAAGATCTGTTTCTAACATACTCTCATGGATAGTCACTTGGGGAGAAAATTCATTTGTGTTTTCTCCATTTAAAAAGATATTTTTCCTTAAATCTTTTAAGACATTTTCACCTATAACCAATCTCCTACAGCAATTATCTTTCCTCAGTCTCTGTATAAGTGCTTTGTAATTCTTCAAATGGTTAGAAGCTTTTTTGAAATTAATGTCACTATATTTAAGCTATCATGTATATGCCAAAAATTTAACCATCTTCTTACCTGACTATAATTCTTTATTTTATGTAAGAAATACTGATATTTCTTATCTAGAATGTCATTTAAATTCCTTAGTGTTATTTCTTTGCACTGAAAGCTGGATTATTGTAAGGCTCATCTCTTTTGTTTTCCTTTACTCATGGATTTTATCTTCCTCTACATTTTGTCCAGTGTCTAAAATTTTTTTTGTCATATACTTTGTATAGTTTTCTAGCTGTTTAAGGGAGGGGATATCTCTCATCCCTGTTAGTCTACTTGTACTGGAATTGGAAATTCAATTCCATGTTTTTGGATCATTTTTATAAAAGATTATTAAAGGAAAAAGAGATTTCAATACCTTAATGGTTTAACTTCAGCTGTCTGGGAAAATTCACTTATGTTGACCATCTCCTTTATACATGATGTAAAAGTATAATAATATTCATTATATTATACTTATTATATGCCAGGTATTATGGCAGGAATTTTTATTAATTCAGTTGATCTTTCCTCTAGCATTATGAAGTGTAGGTACTTTTATTATTACTTTTCACATATGGGACAACTGAGACACAGATAAGTTAAATAGTTTTCCAAAATATTTACACCTCTTAAATGAAAAGGTGATTTCAAAATCAGAAATTCTCTATTCAGATATTACATTATTGACTAATTTACTACATAGCACTTCCTGAAGAACTGTGTTACAGTATAATCTCTCTGTTAGCAGAAATGTAGAACAACTTTAGCTTATTGACTAGTTTCATCTCTCAAAATTCATTTCTTATTAACATGAAATTGTAAAATGAGATGACTTATTTTTTGAGTAGAGTATAACAAAAAAAATTGTATGCATGCATGCAGCTTCTTTAGACAAAGATATGTAGGAAAAAACAAATCCTCTGTTTAATAGAGTAGAATTTTTTTTTTTGGCTAACAAGCAATTATTAGTTGTATTAATAGAAAATGTGATCATTATTAAATGAAAAACTCATTTACATGTTTTAGTTAGGCACATTTAATGTCATAGGATTGTACATGAAACTTCACATACATTCTTGAAGTAATTTTGTAATAGTCTTTTAAAACCATTTAATGTAATAGCCTATATAAAAGTCATCATTGTTGGTTGTTGACTTTATTGGGTGTTCTAGAGGATGTTTTGATTTCAGGACATATTATTTATAATATAGTGATCCAAATCTTTTGATGATATAAAAATATTGTATTTACAAATGCCATGAAACATCACCACAAATATTGGAAAAGAACATATATTAAGTTTCAAACTTTCCTTTATTTTGATTTTTCAGATTGCATTCTCACAACACAATACAATCATGGATCTTGTGCAGTTTTTTGTCACCTTCTTCAGGTAATTTGCTTTTACTGACTTTGAATTTATTAAACCTATATTCTGATAATGTTCTATCAACCTGTTAGGTAATTTATCAGATCTCTAACCTTAAAATATCAATGATGTGTCTTGAATTGTTTTATATGCTTAAATATATACCACAGAGCAGAGGAAACATACTTGAAATGTACTTGTCAAGATTATTTTGGTATTGTACTATTTAACTGCTAATGGAGTCAGTGGAAAGAAGATGATAACTTTGTGTTCCTGTTACATGAGTAATTAAGGCCTGCTTTAGTTAATGAAATTAGCAGTATATTCACTATATGGATTAGGTATATCTTCTAGAGTTAAATCAGTTCAATTATTTTTTAGGAAATTATCACATTTAGCACAATGTACTAAAAATCTGTAGGGAATGTATTTATTGTCCTCAGGGAGGTTCTAATCTGGAAATACTAAATATGACTTTGAATAGAACACCATTCCCTAGAAAATTAGTTATCTGAGGTATTAATAGTAAGTTAATAAAAAAGTTTCCATAATTAAACAAGTTAGGAAAATAGGGATCTTTTAGTTTGCTTATAACTGATATTATTTCTACTACTGATGTTACAGGAAGGTTTTTTTTTCCCCCTTAGAGTTTTAATGTGCTAATTTTTGATGAATCTTTCTAAAAGAGAGGGTAGAGTTTGTAACATTTCTCAAAACATGAAAACTCTTTTCAGGGAACATCTATTATTATTTCCATGGGATGTAAATAAAGAAACACTGGATTGGGAGAAGAAGTGAGTCAGTGATAGGATATCTGTGTTATGGCGTCTTAGATCATCTGGGTAGGAAGGGATGTTATTTTTGTTTGTTTTTTTTTTGGAATTGCTGAAAAGTTTACTTTGGAGCTTTAAGCTGCACTTTGAAAACAATGATGTGGGCTATGCTGACCTAAGGAGAGACCCAGCTCCCCCCACCAACATACACACACATCCACACCATGGCAGAGCAGGACCAAGCCAGGTCAGGCCAGTTGCCCATGCAGGGTGAGACAGGACCCTGCTTGATGTAACTGCAGAGGCAGCCTTCATCACTGTCTGTAGGGCCAGGCTGCATTGGGGGATAGCACTGGAGCTCCTCCTGACCTCAGAGTTCTGCTCACCCCCCAGTGCAAAGGTACTCTTGTGGGTTGGCTGAGAACACTGGGGGTCACCCACAGCAAGTCATCGCCCTGTGGCAGCCAGTCAGCTCCACTGGTTCTCAACCCTAAGGCCACCCACAACCTCGCTGTCTCCTGCAGAACCTGCCCGGCCAAGCCTACTGGGTGTGACCCTCAGTACACCAGTGACCTTTAGGACAGGCTCCCTCCAAACGTGAGTCCAAGTGCATGCAAGGCCTCAGCTAAGGTTGCCTCTCCCTCACGCTGTGCTGACAACTGCAGACCCAGCTCCAGCCATCAACCCCCACAGTCTGGGAGAGGGCCTGTTGCAGGCATCCTGGCCCCTGCATGCCTAGAGGCTGCTAGGGGTGTGCTCCCCGACCAGCAGATTTTCAGAGTGGATTGAAAACCCCCAGCAGAGAAACAGGCCCTGCAGACAGGCTGGGGGCTCTACCAGGTGCCCCCACCTCTGGGAGGGCATGTCGCTGGGCACCACAAGTGGGTCCTTGGCATTCTGACTCCTTTAGTGGCCTTGCTGAAGTGGCAGAAATGTACAGAAAAGCCAAATCCGTCACCATCTTCCTTAAGAAAATTTCCAGAGGTGGCCCTCAAGAGGCAGGTAGTAGGGGCTCCGGTCCTGAGGGCCAAGGGTCTGACCACGACACCCGTGCCTGCCCAGGGTTGCCCTCGGCTTGGAAACATTCAGAAGACCATCCCAGCAACTCTGCACATCCTGGCACCTGAGACACACAAGGAAAAGAAAAGTTCCCTCCAAGGGCGCATTTGGCCCAACCTGAGCCCCCTCTTGTGGAGGGCTGTGAAGCCCCACGATGTTTCCCCTTCCTCCCCACCCCCCCTGCTGAGCGCCGACAGGCAGACCCGGTCCACAGGGGCTCCCTCGCCTCTCCCCGCCTTGGTGCTCGCCCTCCCACCTGGTCTGGCTGTCCCCTGCCCAACACAGCAGGGTCACAGAGGGGCTGGGGCGGTCGCGCTGCCCAGGGACAGAAGGATGTTATTTTTGTTAATATGATTATTGCATGTACAGGTTGTCCTGGTCCACTGGGTGCCTTCATGCAAATTAGACAAATGTGTATCCTCCTTTTGGCAGATATAGCCCTATATCATGGCACACAGCTTTACAGTATGAATTTTGACCTCCACTCACCAAGTTGGCTGGGTTACTTTATACTAAGTGAAGAAATCTGTACAGCCCAATCCTTGACATAGATGATATGCCAAGCACTTTCTTAAATGTTATCTTGTCCAGACACCCATACAATACTTGAATTCCTATTACCTTCCTCACAGGGGTCAGCACACATTTTCTGTAAAGGGCCATATAGGAAATATTTCAGGATTTGTGGGCTATACCATCTCTGTTGCATGGACACAAACCAGCTGCCATAACGGTAGAGCAGAAAGAGCCAATAAGGAAACATATGGGTGTGGCTCTGTTCCAATAAACCTTTATTACAGAAACAGCTGGTGGGCTGAGTCCTGCCTGTGGACATAATTTGCCCAACCCCTCATCTAGCTTATGCCCGAATGCCTTTAATGACGAAATCGCGCCATCTCCTGAGATAGCATTTTCTATCTTCAGATAACTAATTGTTCTTTGTAATTGAGATGAAATCTGTCTCCCCAAAACATCACTTCTCATTCATCCATATGGTCCAACCCAGAGCAAATCTCATCTCTCATCTCTATTTATAGCCCTTCAGTTTTCTAAATTCTTTTTTCCAATTTACATATTCCCTGTCTCTTTATCCTCTTCTGTTGTTGAAACCTTTGTCATGTTGGTGACTTTGCTCTGAAAACAGTCATGTTTGTCTATGTCCCTTTAAAAGTTGTGATTTCCAGAATTTAATGCTACAATTTATCACTAACATGTGTGCATACTTTAAATTTGTTCCTTAAAAATGAAATGAGGAAACATCTTAAATATATTTAATGTTTTATGACTTTGTATTTCTGAGTATAAAGAGATTTTAGGGCTACATATTAGGTTCCAGTATGTTTTTGGAACGTATTAGAAGTTACAATCTAACAAGAATTATTAAAGCATCAAAATAAAACTGTTTTTCTTGATGGAGAAGGTGTGGATGGAAATATACTGAAAAGTTCAACTCTGCATAAAAATTCACAAAGTTGAATATATATGTAAATTATTAAATGTTTAGGGTTTTATTTTAAGCTTTTGAATTTGTATGCATATTAAAGTTCAGTAGCTTTTTTTATTAAGTAAAAGAAAGCTAGTGTTAATGTGTCCCATGTCTTAGAGATGATCCTATTTATTATGTTGTCATCATGGACAAAGTGAAATAAAATATTCTACCTGTTGTGTGAGATAAAATATATTTGATGTGTTTTTTTGTCATTTAAATTTCTTTCAGTAGTGAAATGTAAATTAGTTTAAAAATTATCTCATTGTTAGAAAAAACATGGTTAGAATATTTTAAAAGTTTTTTTTTTTTTTTTAATAAAGCCACTGCTAAATTTTAAAAGAGAGTTTTAGACAGGTCAGCATTTATGGACATCCTTCAATCAAGCCCCTATTACTGCTATTGCTGTTTCTAACTGAGACACTGATGTAGCAGAGGTGAATGTGTCAGCTTTTCAGTTTAGCCATGATTCCATGGAGGCTGATTCACAAACTCTGGAAGTTTTTACCTCTATATTGGGCATAGTTCTGGGGTAAACATGATTGGGCAAGTATAAGGAAGATCACTTATAGGCATAGCCTGGCTCTGATCTTAGCTTTCTATATATCATAAGTAGCTCATAGTTAGTAGGTGAAAATCTCAGTCCTTTCATTTAAGAATTAAAGGATTTTGTTGTTGTGAGAGTCTGTAGTATAACATAGTAAATGATTAGAAAATTGGAAGGGAATTATTTTAAAAATAAATGTTTTTGTCTGGTATGTAAAATGGAAAAGTAAGTCTAAGTGAATCTGAAAAGTTAAGCCTGGTAAATTAAATGGAGATATAGTAGGGACCACTGTCCTTGCACCTTATAGAATTTTAATGGTGGTATGTATTTTCACTATCCCACTGGGATGACAGTGCTTTTAATTTACCATCTTAACCCGATGGAGGGTAGTTTTAGAGGTTGTCACTTGGTCTTTCCCACTGTGAAAAATCTTACCCCACAGGCCAGGGACACAATGTAGAGGTTACTCTAACCACTTGTACATAAATTCTAATTATATACTTAAGAACTGGGGAAATTATCACTGCTTGGATCTATAGACACAGTTGGTCCACAGTGAGCCAAAATTTAGCAAAAATTTGTTACATGACTCCTGAAGACACCCCAAATCTAACAAGGGGCCATTATGACATTTTAGTCCTTGAGTATCTGTATCATCTCTCATCCAGTGTCTAATATTAATTGAAATATCTACTTATTCCTCTTGTACTGTATATATAACCATGTATATGCCTGTATGTGTGTGTGTGTGGGTGTATATATATATATATATATAGCCCCAAATATACACAAATATGGACAGGGATCATACAAAGGTCCCCTTGAAGATCATTTTACATACTTTTCAAGATGTTTCAAGATGTCCTTTCTTCTGTGGATCCAGCCACCTGTTCAGTCAATGGGGTTCTGGATCTGTAAATTAGCTCATCTGGGAACTGGACAGAGGGTTATGATTTTTCTATTGGGACAAAAATTCTCAGTGTGTTGTTTCCACATTCTTACTTAAAATAAAACCAAATGTTAAATAGTACCATTGTTGGCTGCCCACCTATTTGACCCCTGAGGATGCCATGCATTATTAATCATCTTCACGGCTCTTTGTGGGCAAATACCCTTGTCAGCTCCAACAATCTTATTGTTCATTATGGTAATTGTGGGC